ATGCTTGACATGTGCTTCAAGATGCATTACGTCTTTTTGAGTTTATTTTATATTTTAAACCGTATAATTATGCTTGACATGTGCTTCAAGATGCATTATGTCTTTTAGTTACTTCCCTTACCTTAACGCCCTAAATTGCGTTCATTTTGAAGGGTGGGGGTGGATGGCCGAATGGTTAGCACGTACGCGCTGTATCATAAGGTCTGTCATTGAGTCAACTTGCATGGCTTCGATTCTCCGGTTGTACGTGACAAGGAGTAGGGACGCCTGTCCAACCTCGTGGGTTTTCTCCGGGTCCTCCGGTTTCCTCCCACTGCTAAAGACCCCTACGCGCATGCGAATTATTGAAATAAAATTGAACCAAGTGTTAGTCCAGAAATGACCCAGTTTGTGTTGAGTTGACGTTAAACCCCATTTCTCTCTCTCTTGCGTTCATTTTGTATTTTAAGTCATATAATTCGGTAATTTAATGACGTGAATTTCAATCACATCAATTTAATGATGCAGTACGCAGGAGCTAAATCTGCCTGTTGCAGGTTTTTAATGTTGGCTTCAAATGTTATATAAATTATAAATTAAACATACCTATAATCAACGCGGTAGATCATCGGATGGCTGAGATTTAAATGTATTAAAACAACGGAGAGATTTAAAAATTGAACGATAAAATGAAGAATCTAATCGAGACTTAGCCTCGATTGTCAATTACCGTTGCTACTATAACAAACAATCTACGCTACACCTTCCAACAGTCATAACTTTCCACCAGAATAAAGTTATTTGAATGAAAGCTTCATTCATATTTTCTTATGTATTTTTAGCTATTACAGGAAAAAAGATCAGTTCTTTATCTAAATCTAACAGAATGCATCTTTAAGTGTCTTGATATACAACAAATCTAACAGAATGCATCTTTAAGTGTCTTGATATACAACAATCCAATTGAGTTTATTTCTCTTTTACTACACCAAATGATTTTTGTTTTATTTTATTACATTTATTTTGTTTTTCTTTTATATGTAACCTGCTCTTAATGGGCGTATTGATTCAATCAAATTTTATGTTATCTTATGGAACATGGTTCGTAAATCATAATATATTTAAATTATGATAAACTAAGGAGCTAAAACCCATTTATACACAGTCCTACCTTGTTAAAGAATATTCTATTAATCATGTAATTCACTAGTGCTAGTTGAGAAATTGGCAACTTTTCAAGTTGAAACGCATAGAAAAGAAATGAGGTAATTTTGTTATTACTTCGATGTTATTGTAATTGCTAGAATGGAAAAAAATGAAAATAAATGAAATAGGGTTTAACGTCCTACTGTTCTGCTCCGTCTGGGCTAATGAAAACGGGCATACGCAATACAGTGTGCTATGGGGGAAATTGTGCACGGACCCCATTTTCAAAATTAGTGAGCAGCCCTCGTTATAAATAAGAAGACTGGAATGACCGTGCCTAGATGTGATGGGTTGGCATAAGATTTATCTCGGACTATATAAGACGACGAAACGAAATAAGGTTTAATGTCATACTTTTCTGTAGTCCCGAAATGACCTAGTTTGTGTCGAGTGGACGTTAAACCCCATTTCTCTCTCTCTCTCTAATACTTTTCTGCTCCGACTGGTCCGGACATACATCGTGTTATTAGGCAAATTTTGTCCGAACAGCGGCACTATGGCATACTCTTATATCGAATTCCAACAGCCTAGGGTTCTTTTACGTGCATGCCAATGTGTACACGAGACCTCGCATTTTCGTCTCAAGGAGGTCAACGCAGGGAATGAACACGGGGCTTCCAGGATATAGAAACAACGTCTTACTCACGCCCGAAAAATCCAGATGGACTTTCTCGGCCAACGCAGTGATAGAACACGGGACCTCCTTGTTAGCGAGCCAACGTCTTACTCACTGAGCCACCGTGGATCCGTGATTGAATGGTTCTTGTATGAATCGACTTTTGCTTCAACAAAATCGAGTTCACAAAATAGAAGAAACACTCTGGATTCGAAATAACGTATTTTCGAAGTGATTTGAAGACAAAAAGTGCGAGAAAATAGTCGAAAACCGTATTGGTTTTGCACTGACGACTATCTCGTGTGGTGCGCGTATCAAATGGCTAACGAGATGAATACGTGTGTAATCAGCACCCTTTCGTTCTCGTGTTCGTCGCTTGCGCAGCCTCCCTATTAAGTAGATTTATATATGTTTTGCGGTTGATGCCGTTAGCGTAGAAATGGATAATCCAGACTTTGTTTATTACCGTAACAACGGTTACAATGGCTTCCCTTTGGCTGAAATTTTCAACATATTCTCTTTTCATTATCTATTTTGTAAGTATTAAAGCTCTTTATCTAATCTTAACTAATGGCGCTTTAAGCAATAGATGTAGAAATAATTATGTTTTAATTTACTTAGAAAATATGCAACCATCGCTATAAAGAATTGGCTTCAATCCAATTACTGGGTCTTGGTTCTATGATGGTCATGTAGTAATTAAATTCGTTAAAGATAATTAGAGAATAAATACGGACGTAGGTCAATATCAACGTCATGATAATGCTACCGATTCTATATTAAACACGGACGTTGGTCAATATCAACGTCATGATGACGCTACCCATTCTATATTAAACACGGACGTTGGTCAATATCAACGTCATGATGACGCTACCCATTCTATATTAAACACGGACGTTGGTCAATATCAACGTCATGATGACGCTACCCATTCTATATTAAACACGGACGTTGGTCAATATCAACGTCATGATGACGCTACCCATTCTATATTAAACACGGACGTTGGTCAATATCAACGTCATGATGACGCTACCCATTCTATATTAAACACGGACGTTGGTCAATATCAACGTCATGATGACGCTACCCATTCTATATTAAACACGGACGTTGGTCAATATCAACGTCATGATGACGCTACCCATTCTATATTAAACACGGACGTTGGTCAATATCAACGTCATGATGACGCTACCCATTCTATATTAAACACGGACGTTGGTCAATATCAACGTCATGATGACGCTACCCATTCTATATTAAACACGGACGTTGGTCAATATCAACGTCATGATGACGCTACCCATTCTATATTAAACACGGACGTTGGTCAATATCAACGTCATGATGACGCTACCCATTCTATATTAAACACGGACGTTGGTCAATATCAACGTCATGATGTCGCTACCCATTCTATATTAAATTTTTAAGAAGTCGGAGAAATGAAACGAAATGGGGTTTAATATCTTACTCCCAACTGGGCTAATGAAGACGCGCATGCGCCATACAGTGTGCTATGAGGTAAATTTTGCCCAGACAGCGGCACTACGGCCTACTCTTATTTCGAATTCCAACTGCCAAGGGATCTTTTACGTGCACGCCAATGTGTACACGGGACCTCTGTTTTTTGTCTCATCCGGGGGATCACGTGGCTAAGTGGGTAAGACGCTAGCTCGCTAGCCTGGAGGTCGGATGTTCGATCCCTGCATTGGCCGAGAAAGTTCATCCAGATTTTCCGGCGTGGTTCTCCCTTGTCAGTGATGCAGGACGGAGGGGCTGACAAGGAAAGCTGTCTAGTCGTTCGGATAGAACGGAAAACCGAGGTCCCGTGTACACATTGGCGTGCACGTAAAAGATCCCTTGGCAGTTGGAATTCGATATAAGAGTAGGTCGTAGTGCCGCTGCCCGGGCAAAATTTCCCTCATAGCACACCGTATGGCGTATGCCCGTCTTCATTAGCCCAGGTTAGGAGCAGAACAGTAGGACGTTAAACTCCATTTCATTTCATTTCATTTTTTGTCTCATCCGAACGACTAGACAGCTGTCCTTGTCAGGCCCCCCGTCCTGCAGCACTGACAAGGGGGAACCACGCCGGGAAATCTGGATGAACTTTCTCGAACACCTGACCTCCAGGCGAAAGTCGGAGAATGTGAAAGAGTAGCATGATGTTAGAGTTATTAGATTATTTTGAACCGGTATTATATAGAGGTCGGTATTATTTCTTAGATAAGGGGTCATCGTCTTAAGGAGCCGTGGTGGCTCGCTAACTTGATGAATCCCGCTATTGGCTGATAAAGTTTATCGTCATTTTACGGCAAGGGACAACGTATAGTCATTCGGGTGGGACGAACAACTGAGGTCCCGTGTACACATTGGCGTGCACTTAAAAGTTCCCTTGACAGTTGGAATTTGAAATAAGAGTCGGCCGTAGTGCCGCTGTCCGGACAAAATTTGTCTAATAACACGATGTATGTCCGGAGAAGTCGGAGCAGAAAAGTATGACATTAAACCTCATTTCGTTTCGTCGTCTTATATAGTCCGAGACTGCATCTTATGCACACCCAACACAATTAGGCACGGTCTTTCCAGTCTTCTTATTTATAACGAGGGCTGCTCACTTATTTTGAAAATGGGGTCCGTGAGTGGCCTGGGTTGTTTTGACAGATTCACTAAATACTGGGTCAGGGTTAGGATTTCTTTTACATGCACGCCAAAGTGTCTATTGGACATCTGTTTTTTGTCCCATTCGCACTACTAGACACTTTTCCTTGCCCCACCATTCTTCAATACTAACAAGGGGAAACCAAGCCGGGAATCAAGTGGTATATTCTCTGCCAATTAGTGAGTCAGTGTCATACCCACAGAACCACTGTGACCATGGAATAAAAACAAAACAGATGTATCATGGGAAGTGCGTAGAAATATCTTAATTAAGACGTCTTGTCGCTCTAATTAGTTGAGGGATTAAGTGGCCGAATGGTTAACGTGTGCGCGTTTGATCATAAAGTCTGTCATTGAGTCAAGTGCCGTGGTTTCGATTCAACGCTTGTACGTGACATGGAGTAGGGTCGCCTGTCCAGTTTTGTCGAGTGCCCTGTCCAGTTCTGTCGAGTGGACGTTAAACTCTCTCTCTGTCTCTCTCTCTCTCTCTCACTCATTAATTAAATGGCGATATTTTTTATGTTTTTAGATTAGACTTGATCATGGAGAACAGTACCAATAATCCGGACAACTGTACGGGCACCTGTAATAATACCTCTATTGAAACCGGTCTATTACAGAGATTAAACGATGCTAAAGCTGTCCATTTTATACCAGTGATGTTATGGGTGACTCTGTTAATGGTGATTGGAGTGTTAGGCAACTCACTCGTGGTATACGTGTATAGACGACGATTTAAAAAAACCTCGTCTAATTATTTTATATTAACCATGGCCATATTTGATCTGGTTGCCTGTGTGGTTGGCATGCCAACAGAAATTTATGATTTGCGATATCCTTACACGTTTTATAGTTCCGTTGGATGTAAGGTATTCAGGTTTACGGAAACGTTTACTATCTACGGTTCGGCCATTGTGCTTGTTGAGATCGCATTTGATCGATATTTTAAAATCTGTAAACCCCTCATGGTAATCAGTTTGTTTAAAATTAAGATGTTGTGTTTTATGGCAACGGTGCTTGCGCTTCTGTTCTCTACACCGACCGCCCTTCTATTCGGCATCACCAACCCACAGACCCCGATACAAGGAATCCGGGGTTATGATTGTTCTATCGAGGAGAAGTACCGAAAGTCGACGTTTCAGAAGTTGTATTATGGGGCTTTGTCCGTAGTTTTCGTGACGACACTACTCGTTCTGACTATTCTCTACGTCAGAATCTGGGTGGAGATTAAACAGCGTCGCAGCATGGTTATTGGAGATCAGATAACTCGACCACCAGGAACGGCGCAAGAAAAGAAAAAGATTCGGATAAAATATCTCGCGGCCAGTGGTAGCAATGAAGATGGTGAGGATGATTCCTCCGGAACCGGAACCGGAACAGGAAATGTCGAGTGTGAGGAGCAGAAAAGGACGCGATTTGGAAGTCTGGCGAACTACGCTTCAAGAATTCGTATCACAAGAACAACGGTTGTGTTGTTCGCTGTAACTGTTGTGTTCGTCATCAGTTATCTCCCTGCTATAGCCATTATGATGACTAGATCGTTAATGAAAGACCTAGAGCATACAAGGAGTATAGAAGTTGAGGTCACCAGTAAATTTTTCTCCAATTTTTTCTTTATTAATAACGCCATTAACCCAATTATATACAGTTTCTTGAATCTGAACTTCAGGCGGCAGGCCCAAAAGGCCGTGAAAACGGTGTTCTGCTGTGAGAAAAGCCCAGCCCCTAAAAAATGTGATTCAGATAGAAGTACAAAACGTGAAATATTGTTGATAGCCACGACCGGTCGCGATGTGTAATTGTATCACTGGTCACGATGTGTAATGGTATCACCGGTCGCCATGTGTAGTCCAATGAAAATCCTTCTTATAGCCACGACCGGTCGCGATGTGTAGTCAAATGGAAATCCTTCTTATAGCCACGACCGGTCGCGATGTGTAAAGGTATGACGAAGCGATAGTTTGGTTTGTCACCGTTATTGTGATGTCCCTATATGCCGGGCCTTGCTGTACAATAAATATGTAGTCCAATGGACATCATTCTTATAGCGTACGCATTGAAATGTTTTTCAAAACGAAACGTATAACCTATCGCACGGGTGTTACCGTGGCTCACGTGGATGAGTCATTATGTATAATATCATGGGTTACTCTATCATGACATAATGAGCTCTTTGTAATCTCGGGAACCTATTATTTAATCGAGAAAATATTTTTTAAAATTTAAGAATTTATCCAGGCAATGTTAAAACTGTATATGATGTTTAATTTGTGTATTAAACTAATCCGAAGAATACTGCAGATATAATTGGTCACATGTTATTATTGCCCCGTGGTGTTGTTCCTTAACGAAAGCCCATGGACATTCTGATGAAATGTAAAAGGTCACGTGCCTCCCCATGGCGAATTCTGTTGTTTGCATCTGCCATTTCATTGATAATATTCACATTCTTGGAATGTAGGTCAGCTATCGTATACACGGAATTTAGGTCAACTATCGTATACACAGAATGTAGTTACGATATACGGCACATGGAACCGTTATATTATACCACTGTCACGTGCTCCAACTCTAGCGGGGACCACGCTGTCTCAGTGAGTACAACGTTGGCCCGCTCACCTCGATGTCCCGTTTTCGATCCCTTTGTTGACCGAGATTTCCCAGCGTGCCTTTGGTGCAGGGCGGGGGAAGAGGGTGGGTCTGGCAATGTAAAACGCATAGTCGTTCGGATGAAACGAAAAGCCGAGGACCCGTGTACAGGTGGTGTGCACGTAAAAGAACCCTTCACAGTTGGAATTCGGTATAAGAGTAGGCCGTAGCGCAGCAGTACGGGCAACTTTTCCTTTTAGCACACTGTATGGCGTATGCTCGTCTTCATTAGCCCAGCCAGGGCATAAGAGTAGGGCGTTAAACCCAGTTCATTTCATTTCATGCTCCAACCCTAGCGGTGGTCATTTAAATATCAACGGAGCCATCTTACGACATCCATGCTATTGATCCATAATTTGATTGCATGTACCGATCAGAAGTTTGAATCATAGGTCGGGACTGTAATATAACAGACCATAAGCCTGGGCTGTAATATAACAGACCATAAGCCCGGTCTGTAATATAACAGACAATTAGCCCGGGCTGTAATATAACATAAAATACAACAATCTATGAAAGAAATGCCATTACTTCATGAAAACCATTAATTTATGGAGACGAAAGACCATTACTTCATGAAAAACTATTAATCCACGAAATACCATTAATCCATGAATTTATGTAATAACATTATCCTGGAACGTGACAATAAAAGACTAGATATCAACTGAACGTTTTAAAACCGCCTTGTATATATGTATTGTATATTTAAAACACCGGATTGATTTATTACCAAATATATATTGTCATTATATCTGGTATTTTGAATCGGCAGACCCAGATATTTTAAGGATATTTGTTTGTGAAAGCTGGTTTTTAATTAAGGAAATCTAAAGTGAATAAAAAACGTGTTTAGTGAGTGGGATAAATGTAACTTCGACGGTGCCGGATACCAACTCGTGCAGGCGGTGGTCGGAGAATCCCCAAATAAAGTCAGCGATATGAATACTTGTTACGTGTAAAACTTGGAAAAGAGTCAGTAAATTTGATAGATGACATACCCTACTCAGACATCCATCTCGCAGGATTTGTTGAAATAAAATGGAATGGTGTTTAACATATTATCACCGACTACGGGCATACGCCATGCAGTGGGCTATGAGGAACATTTCGCCCGTGCGGCGGCGCTACGGCCTACTCTTATATCTACTTCCAACTGTCAAGGGTTCTTTTACGTGCACGCTGATGTGTAGAATATTAAGCCGGGGGCAATTTAATGCCAGGTAAATAAATATCCATTCGCAATAAATGGGTAAGACGCTGGCTCGCTAGTCTGGAGGTCGCGTGTTCGATCCCTGCATTGGCCAAGAAAGTTCGTCGGCATTTTCCGGCGTGGTTTCCCCTTGTTAGTGGTGCAGGATGGAGAGCCTGACAAGGAAAGCTGTCTAGTCGTTCGGATGGGACGAAAAACCGAGGTCCCGTGTATATATTAGCGTGCACTTAAAAGATCCCTTGGAAGTTGGAATTCGATGTAAGAGTAGACCATAGTGCGGCTGTCCTGGCAAAATTTTCCGCATAGCACACTGTATGGCGTATGCCCGTCTTTATTAGCCGAGTCGGAGCTCAACAGTAGGACGTTAAACCCCATTTCATTTCATTTCTGATTCGCCGCGTGAAATTTAGTTCTATTGGCGATATCGGTGCAAGGGACACAAATCCATTATAACTGTTCCCGGGTGTTGGCTAGGTCTGACGTCATTTTAGTTGGCGATCGTGCTAATACATGTTTGTTTACTGGCCGGGGGTGGGGTGGTGGTGGCGAATAGTATAATGCGTGTACGTTAGATCATAAGGTCTGTCATTGAGTTAATTGGCGTGGTTTCAATTGCCCGCTTGTGCGTGACAAGGAGTAGGGTCGCCTGTCCAACCTCCCGGGTTTTCTTTGGATCCTCTGGTTCCCCCCTTCCCACTTACAGTCAAAGCTAAGCTCACTATGCCCAAGTGAATTATTGAAATAAATTTGAACCATATATTAGTCCCGAAATGACCTAGTTTGTATGGGGTGGACGTTTTCTGTCTGTATTTGGTGAATTCGCGATAGTTTCTGAATGAGAAAGCACACCGATATTTATTAGAGAAATGGTCTAATAAACTTCAGAATAACTTACAGATTCCTTGTACATTTTTCCACCAACTTACACACAATTAATGGAGGATAGAAATAATAAGAAATAGGGTTTAAAGTTCTTCTGCTCTGTACTAAAAGGGATATTGATGACGCACAAGTTCATGGTGTTTTCTATAAGGGACTTTTGTCACGTCAGCGGCGTTTCCCCTACTCGAATTCCAAATGGTAACCTGGGACTTCCAGTGTCGACGGAGGTCAACACAAAATAGGTTATTTCGGGACTAACATAGGGTACAATTTTATTCCAATAGCCACGGTGGCTAAGTGAGTGAGACGCTGGCTCGCTAGTCTGGATGTCGCGAGTTCGCTCCCGGTGTTTGCCAAGAAAGTACATCTAGATTTTCCGGCGTGGTCTCCCCTTGTCAGTGGTGTAGGACGGAGGGCCTCACAAGGACAGCTGTCTAGTCGTTTGGATGGGACGAAACACCGAGGTCCCGTGTACACATGGGCGAACACGTAAAAGATGCTTTGGCAGTTGGAATTCGATATAAGAGTAGAACGTAACGCCCTACTTCTTTGTCTCGTTCAAATGTGTTTTGAAACCACACTACTTGTCTCAATGACCGGTCTTATGATCCAATACTCACGCGTTACCCCTTTCAAACCAACAGGGGAAGCAACACTGATGCTATAAATACCATTTATTGCGTATAATAATAATATATAAAAAAATATATAAAATTGTATAAATTAAATATATAAATATGTCATAGATAAATAATAAACTTGTAAATAAATAATAACATATTATCACAATTGGTTGATGGTTCACGTGCACGTAGTCGTCTTTAGCTGTTGAGGGAAACTGGGGGACCCATCTTTAGCTGTTGAAGAAAACTGGGGGACCAAGAGAAAACCCACGAGGTTAGGCAGGCCACCCTACTCCTTATCACATACATGGTTGGAATCGAAGCCACTCGACCCCACCCCCCATTCGGATTATAAATGGCTGGCATAAACAAGTCTATGAATAACAAGCTACGTCACACACATATTCAGATAATTATTTGTTCGTGACCTGAATCACCAAACAGGAATTCTATTTCATATGTTTGTATTAAACTCGATCTATCGATCTATAAATATTTCATTAATCAAATATGAATTGCACGGACGGCACTGTTGAATAATGTCTTTATTCGTCATCCATAAAATCGTCTGGAAATCCTTCGTCATTTCCGCTGAACTCATCAGAATGGCAACTTAACGTATCGAAAGACCCAGATAAACATTGCACAACTTCTTCATGATCCACTTGGAACTCGTCTGATCCCATCACATCATCACAGTAAAAACCACTAGATGGTGTATCTGTTATTACCCATGAACTGATGACGTTTTCATCTTCTGAAATATCTTCACTAGATAACATGACGTCAGTGTAATAATTCCCTCCATTGTTTGTTATTTCTATATTAGGAGATATGACGCAGTTATTCGTGTTATTTAAATAAACGAGAATATTTTGTTCATCTAAATTATCCTTAGCTTCAAAACTATCATCTTTCACGTTATTTAGCACAACAAAATCTTTTCCGGTTTCTGAATCAACAATTATTTGACTAAATTGTTGTGACGTGTCAGCACTATTTGATGACGTCGTTTTCTCTGTTTGGTTTTCAATAGAGTTCATGTATTGTAGGTAAGACTGGAATTGATTTAATGACGTCACATATTCAAAATCTAGACACGATTTCAAGCATGTAACCCAGTCTTTTACTGGTGACTGTTGCTCTTTGGTTGTATCTTCTTCTTTGATTGGACAATCATTTTCTGGGTCAGACTTTTCAAAAAGCTGTCGCCGACATTTTGGTGGATTGTCTCTATTTCTGTGAACTCGGACTTTTCGTTGTCCTCGACAAAACAAAACCTAAAAAGAAATTGTTGATAAATACGTTAATTGCAGTATTATTCAAATCCCGACGTGAGCAGAGAATATGGGTTCAGGAGAAGCCCATGTGAGAATGACAAGGAATATGTCTATAGTCGTGGGTGTGGGGACAATCCAAGATCCATTCTCTACATGTAGGTGCACATAAAAGAATCCTTTGTAGGAAAAAAAACAACAATCGCCGATATATTGTGTGGTGACATCAACAAGTCTACGATACAAGAAGCAGGCCACCTGTCTATCCTCGTGGGTATTCTCCGTGTCCTCCTCTTTGACCCCACTGCTTAAGCCCACGTGCCAACCCCGCCTCCCCCGCCCTCTTTGTTCTCTTATATACCAACAGTTTTTGACAGTACGAACTGTGGACACATCATCACGGCTGGAAAACAGACTGTTAGAGTCAAGAGCAATAACCAAATAGATATGTTATCAATCGAGAAATAAGAATACTTGGATGAAACTTACTATATCGCTGTCTTCATTTTCTAAGTAATCCATTTTGTTAATAATTGAGTAAGACAGATCGGTGTGGTGTACGACTTGAAATGTTATGAATGACAAAATACATAACAGATTCGTATCTTTATATCACAAAATCAATAATGGCTAACGGGATAATCCTTTCCCGTAACAATCTTGATCATAATCCACTTATATAGATCGGATAAATTAAATTAATCAATGTCTGCTTAATCCTAATTAATCCATTCACTAATCTCGATAAACAAAATAACCATCTGTTTTATTTGTGTACATCGGGTGAATTGTTATGACAACAAATTCGTCCGCCAATCATCGTTAACTTGATGACCAACTCACTAACTATGACGTCATGTGTGTTTGTCGTCACCGTCCTTCTGTTCAGTAATTACGTTTCTGATTAATCAATAAATAGGCAGACTCTACATGTAGATTGATGTTCATAATAATCAAATAGGCCTAGCGACGACCCCCCCCCCCCAACCGTTTCTGTCTTGTTTGATTTTAT